AAAATTAATTACCATACACTCCAGGCCAACTCATTCATTTCCTCCTGCAGCGGGAAACCCTGCTCAACCCTGGCAACACTGTCCTGTCAGCAGAAGTTGAATAAGGTGGGATGCCTAATGAGACACTGGCAACCACTGGCTGAGGAAAACTAAAAGTAAGGACTAGATGTTTCCAGCAATGTCAATAAACCCAAGTTTACCCAGTAAACTCTTGCTTTGTCTAAGAGGTCTGACTCAGAAATCAGCTGAAGTCATGTTCTGCCTCCAGGCTATGACAGGTAGTCATGGAAATCAGGACAGCATGCACACAAACAGCTGACAGTCCAGAGGAGTTACATAATTGGATGTCAAAATGAGCCTCTGACGTGGCAGGTGCTGTAAAAAGCCGGAGAAAGATGAGTTCCCCACAGTACAACATAGCTGATCAAGAAACGAGTTTCCATTTTTTTGAATTTCCAAGAAACTTTCCTCTTTCCCTAGAACACAAGGAGGCTAAAACATTGGATATGGACCCTGGCTGGCCTGACCCTGCCTGCTCCGGAGAACAGAAGGGAGCCTGCTGCCCTTCCCTGACTTGACCTTTCCCTGTCCAAGGAAGCTAAGGCCTCGTTTTAGGAGAAACAGAGGACAACAGAGACGAACGAGCTCTTGATCTACCTGGTCACTGCTGCTCTTAGAAGAAAACGGGAAGGGAGGGTGAGAAATACAAAGTGATTCCCATAACTCAGTCCTCCAGCCCTCATCAATACATACCTTTTGAGCTCCTAATATGTGCCAGGAGGCATAATGTGGGTACAGAATCCTTCTGTGAAGACCAGTTATGTGTGTGAGAGGAAAGAGAGACAGAGAGACCTGGTGCTACACTCTAAAGAACCAGCAGGAAACGGTAAGGAGGCGTGAAGTGGTGTAAGGCTGAGAGTTTTAAATGAGATGAGCAAAGAAGTCTGATACATGACTTTGGATATGAATGAAAAAATGACATATTCCAAGCAGTGAATGCACACGCCCTGAGCGGCAGCTGGGGCACAGTAAGCAAAGGGGAAGACAGAGATAAAAACACAGGCTATGGGAGGGCCTTTGCCCACCACAAGGACTTGGATTTTGTCTTGCGATTTAAAATAAAAACACAGCGGACAGGGACTGATGTGCGGATTAAAACAATGCCAGCATGCCAGTTTTAGCTGCTCCATTTCAGATCCAGCTTCCTACTCCTGAGCCTGGAAAAAGAGCGGAATGTTTGGACCCACGTGACAGACCCAGATGGAGTTCCTGGCTCCTGGCACTGGCCAGTCCCAGCCCTGTTAGGACCAGTAGATGGAATACTTATCTCTGTCTCTCCCTCTTCTTTCTGTAACTTGGCCTCTCAGAAAAAAAAATCTTTTTAAAATCTGGACGAGTTCTGAGATGAGACTGGATGCCATCACAGGGCACGCCTTCTGTGAGGGACACAGGCAGGAGCAGTGAAGACAGAAGTGGTGCAGTCCTTTTTGAGGTTTCTTCTGCAGTTACCTGGGTACCAGGGAATAGGAGCTCGGTGGACGCAATGGGGGCTGCACAGTAGTTATCAGCTCAGACACACACCAAGAAGTTTGACAGGGAGTCAAGGGAGAGAGAAGATTCAGGGAGTTCAGGCTGAGTGTCTGGAAGAGTGATGTGGCTAGTCACTGTGAGAGGGAAGGCTGTGGACACGTGAGTTTGGGAGAGCAAAACCAAATCTGACGGCCGGAGTGCTCACCCATCCCTGAGCCCCACCGATGGTCCCACATCACCACTGCAGCAGGAGCTGAAACGCTGGCGCCAACTCCCCAGATAAAGATAGAAGAATCACACACCCTGCCCTCAAAACTATCTCCAAGTTCAGTATCCTCTCCCCAAAAAGCTTGAAACCAAGCGAATCCAAAATGAGGATCATGGGGATCCCCAAACTCCTTGGGGGTGGGACCCACATCTACAGCTTCCATATTCATTTCAGATACACCTTGTGTGAACATTTACAATCTCAAACTAATTTTGGCTGTAAGCCCTCCTGTAAATTCAGGTGTAATAGTTTCCAGACATTAACAGAAAATCCACACTGCATAATATTATCACCTCCTCTACCCAAACTTCCTTCCCCCAGTAAAAAACAAACTGAGAGATCTGCCAGCCTTAAAGTGAGAATGCACCCAGTAGGCAGAACAGCTGTTAGCTACCAGCCCCCCTCCTCCAGGAACGAAGAGGCTCCCAGCACAGGAGATCCTGAGCCCCTGTGGGTGCAGGGAGTGGGTTGGGGGAGACACCCGCCTGGAAAAGCCAAAGCTAGGGCTTCCAAGATTTCCTAAATGTCTTCCTAGGTGACCACCCGGACAGGGACGAGGCTGTCATCACATGAGCCAGCGCTCAGGCAGGCAAAGGGGAGAGCCTCACCGCCCAGGTCCTAAGCCAGCGTGCCAAAGCCTTAAATGACTATTTTCAAAACAATAGGAAGGAACTAAGGACTGGAGGGAAGCACGCCATACCTGGGACATTTCTCCCTTCTTGGGATCAAGGCTGCTTCCCCACCACCCTTCTTGGGCGCCCTGGCACCTGGATGCCACCTGCAGGTGACAGACACTGACCCTGCACCTGATGGCACCTGACCTGCACCTCGAACCCTTCGGACCGGTCACCACAGGAAGCTGTCATTCTGGGTCCTTGCCGGGACCCTGGAGAGCCGAAGCCACTCAAGGGGCGCGGGCTCAGCAGTCCCGCGGCGGGAAGTGCAGGCACCCTGAGACACCTCCAACCTGGTCACAGACACAGCCCTGGGGACGGCCTGAACACAGCCCACCCGAGGCAATGCCGCCATGCACCTGCCGCCTCCCGCAGCTGCCACCCTCACCTGGCTCGTTCCGCAGCCCTGTCCCCGTGCGCGCAGCTCTGACTCTGTGCGTCCACCACCAGCTGCCGGCTTTTTTTTTTTTGGTGCTTGGCGGGTATTTTCCGTCTGGCCCCACATCACTTCCCGTCAAGGAAAGCGAGGTGGGGGCGGGACCTCAAGCTTCCCCTCCACATCCCGCCTCCTCCTGTCACCTCCCGGGAACTGGGGGCCTTCCAGCCTCAGGGCACCTGCACAGGGGTCCTTGTTGGGTCCTGGAAGTAACCCCCTTCCCCGCGCACCTGCCAGGTCCCTACACAGGCGTTGGTTGCCCTACGCTGCTGGCAGGGAACCGTGGCGAGTTTGTTTTCCTCTGAGACGCAGAAGTGACAGTGACTAACTGCTCCAGGACGGGAGTGCGGTGAGGCATGCATAGGACAACCCTCGCCACGTCCCCTTACTCAGAAGCCATTTCTCAAAAAGGTCCTCCAGGCCCTCTGTTCCGGGTCGTAGCGGTATTTGAGCAGTGCCAACCGACTCCACCCGGGTTCCTGAAGCCACGGGGCTCCTGGTGGCGGCTCTCCCTAGTTCGACTCGGCCCTGTTGGTCTCAAACCACTTCTACATGTCAAGGTGTGTTCAAGTGATTCGAAAAGAAGGAAGGGAACAGGGGAAACAGAACGACAAAAGAACTGCAAGAAGCTATGAAATAAAGAACCATGGGGGGGAAAAAACCCAGTGCGAGAGAACCACCTGTCAGAGATCCGCGACTCTCTGCTGCCACCCGGTGACGGCGGAGGAGGTTGGCGGAGCTGGGAGCCTGGGGCTGCGTGCCGACGGTGCAAGCCGCAGGCTCCAGGCCCAGAGCCAATCAAGCGCCCCCGTAGTGGCCTGCTGGTCTGAAACGTGGGCTTCGGGCTCACCTCCTTGGACTGCAAAGCGGAGCACGTGTGAAACTCGTGATGCCTGTTGTGAGCACAGCCATTCCTGCCATCCAGGATATGACACACACTGTAAATTGCAACTGTAAATTCCACACTGTAAATTGCAACTGTAAATTCCACACTGTAAATTTCAACTGTCTTGGGCCCTCAAGCACAAGCTTTATTAAAGATTCATTTGTTTTTAATGGAAAGGCAGATTTACAGAGAAGGAGAGACAGAGAAAAAGATCTTATGTCTGATGATTCACTCCCCAAGTGGCTGCAACAGCCGATCCGAAGCCAGGAGCCAGAAGGTTCTTCAGGTCTCCCACACGGGTGCAGGATCCCAAGGCTTTGGGCCATCCTCGACTGCTTTCCCAGGCCAGGTCTGATGGCACAGTTGCACTCCCAAGGGTGGAAGCCTCTGCAAATAGGTGGATCTGACTCCAGCAGTCACCCAGTCCCCACCCCCAGGGCCCTGTGCAGCTCTATGCTCCCTACCTTACTTTTGAGTAGTGAGGCTGTCATCTTGATAGAGAGGGGCTGTCATTCCATCATCTTCCCCCATGGCAGAGCCTAGGCATAGAAGGGCACAGGAGAGGTCACAGTCAGGCTTTCTCCCCACAAGACAGGCAAGAAGGTAGTTGTTTCCCTGGTCCAGTTGTGCCAAGTTAGATTCTGCCAGGCGTGCAGCAAGGACCTCCCACCACTGCCATGCAAGAATCAAGCACACACCACCATGGAGGCTACTAACCCTTGGGGTTTCACATTGGCATGGGTTCACAACCCACAGTCATGAGTCGGCACGAATCATGTCAGTATACCACTCCTACATTCCCATCAGATCGGATCTACATAATCATAAGAAAGGATCAACACACTCAGCAGAAAGGATGTTGGCCATCACAGGCCAGTATTTGAAAACATCCAGGGGTGGGATGTCTGGTCAGCAGCTAAGATGTTGGTTAGGACACCCACATGCTACGATGGAGTAAAGGGGTCCAACTTCAGGTTCCTGACACCAGCTTCCAGCTAATCAAGACCCAGAGAGATAGCGGGAAGGCCCGGAGTAATTGGGTTTCTGCCATCTCCAGAGGAAACAGGGGTGGAGATTCTGCTTCCAGGCTTTGCCTCCGCCCAGGGCTGGCTGCCCTAAGCATTTGCAGAGCGAACAAACCAGGGAACAGGATATGTCTGTCTCCAATTAAAAAAAAAATAAACAAACAACAACAGCGCTAAAAAGTCATTTGAAATTATTATAGTTTATTTATGCTTAGAATCTCTTTTATTTGTATATAACCAATGTATGTTTTCAGTGGACATTTGACCAGCTGTTCCAATTCCACTTCATGTAGCATTAACTTTTCTTCTCTTGGGATTCTTGGGCCCATTTCATCTTTTCTTTTAATTCCTTCTGATCTCTGGAATACTGTTCAAATATTGGTTGGTAAATATATATTCCTCCAGCGATTCCAAGGACGGTCGCAAAAAGCATCTGCGGAACAGTCAACCTCCCAAACATGGTTCCAACAGGCACAGCCCGGCACGGAGACGGTTGGCAGTGTTCACATGCCACATGCAGGCAACCCCTTCAGACCTGCACACAGAGAGAACGGGAAACAAGGCAAGCACTCGGATAGGATCCTTTCAGGAGCTCCTGTCACGACAGCGCCTTCGCAACTGTAAAACAGGCTTGAGTGTGAGACACAACAAAATCCTCCTCTACTGTACCCTCTCTGTGGGCTGGGAGGAACACTTGCTTAAATGGCAAAAAGGAAAGGGATGAGAGCCATGCCACAAAACTACCTACCGCAAGAAGCAACTGAAACAAAATAAAACACTGGGTGTGATTGCCTCTGATAAGAACAGGAAAAAGTTTCAAGGCCAGAACAACCTGGGTCCCTTTGCTAGTCTGGTAAACACAAGCAGACATCAAATATTCATTATCTGCCATCCATTTCTGACCAAAAACTCCAATGACTATTGGCCGGATTTTACTTCGAACCATTTGCAGACCAAAATTCATGGTCAATGCCTCTGTCTCTGGAGAAACTAAGAAAATGTCTGTGAAAGATGGAAGCACAAGGAAAAATCTATATTAAAACAACAGCAGCAGCAACATTGCTTTATTGGTATTTGAAAGGCAGTTACTGACAGAACAGATGGATTGTCGGTCCTTGGTTCATTTTCCAGCCACACGGTCGGGGCCAGACCAGATTGGAGCAGGGAGAAGCCAGGAACCCCTTCTACATCTCTCCCACGGACCTGGGCCGCCCGTGGCTGCCTCCCGGCCGTGGGCAGGGAAGTGGGGCACCCGGGACCCCGCGAGGCCGGCCAGCAGGCGGGGGGTTCAGCCTGTGACGCCTCGGCGCTGGCCGCACGTTTTCCGTTACAGGGACACTTGACAGGGTCTCCGAACACAGCCCACCCAACACACACACAGAGTCTCCCAGCCCACCCACACACACACACACACACACACACACACACACACACAGTCTCCCAGCCGCACGTTTTCGTTACAGGGACACTTGACAGGGTCTCGAACACAGCCCACCCAACACACACAGAGTCTCCCAGCCCCCCCACCACACACACACACACACACACACAGTCTCCCAGCCGCACGTTTTCGTTACAGGGACACTTGACAGGGTCTCCGAACACAGCCCACCCAACACACACACACAGAGTCTCCCAGCCCACCCAACACACACACACACACACACACACACACACACACACACACACAGTCTCCCAGCCCACCACACACACACACACACACACACACACACACACACACACACACAGTCTCCCAGCCCACCCAACACCCACACACACACAGTCTCCCAGCCCACCCAACACACACACACACACACAGTCTCCCAGCCCACCCAACACACACACACACACACACACACACACACACACAGTCTCCCAGCCCACCCAACACACACACACACACGGTCTCCCAGTCGACCCAAAACCCAACACACACGCGGTGTCCCTTTCGGGTCAACACCACCATTACATCGCCCTCGGCGAGCCAGGCCGTACCGTGCCGGCTGCGCGTCGCCAAGCCCGCCACCGGCCAGCAGAGGCGAGCTCGGGCCCGGGCCGCCCCGGACGGCTGTGGAGAGGCGGCCCGGCCGGCACGCTCCCGCCGCGGGGACACCGAGCCGGGACGCCGTGTGTGAGGCAGGCCGGGCCGGGGCGGGCGTGTGTGAGAGGCCGGGCCGGGAGGGAGTGTGTGAGGGGCCGGGCCGGGGCCGGGCCCAGCCAGGAGGCCCTAAGGAAAGCGGCGCCTCTCCCGGCGACGCCCGCGCCTGAGAACCACGGCTGCTCGCAAGGGACAAACTTAGCGTGAGGCAGAGTCGCGCGCTCTGGCGGGCTCTCTCCGCCCGGAGCAGGTGGCGCGACGACGGGTGTCCACGGCGGGCGACCTCCCGAGCTGCTGCGGGATGCAGCGGGAGGGCGATGAGGGTCGCCTCGCTTTCCGCGGCCCCCAGAACCGCTCCCACGAGAAGATCAAGCTGCGGAAGAGAAAGTCTGTCCTGTACCTAAGCACCCAGGAGAAGGGCGCCGGGCGCCGCGGAGGTAAGTGAGGGGGTTCTGTCGCCGCCTTCCCAGTCTTTACAGATCTTGATGAATCTTGAAGTGCTAGAAATAATAGCTTTTACGACAAAGTGTGATTTTCAATATTGGAGACTACAATTCAGATTTTATTTTTCTAAATCCTCTGCCCAGCCCACGCTCTGTCCTTTGGCGATCAGAAGTTCATCGACAGATCTCCAAATGCTGTTCACAGTCTTGGAGCGTTTGAACTTCTGACACGGAAACGTAATTCCTGAGCCTTATTCTGTGTGTGATGGGGCTCATGCCTACCACACAGCATTATTTTGAGAATATATTGAGATGTGTGTGAAAGAATTAACATAGTGCCTAGTGTAAATAGCAATAAATAAAATAAATAAATCCTATATAAATATTTATAATATATATATAAAGGATATATCATATATATATATCTCCTCTATACGTGTGTGTGTATATATATATATATAATCCCTAATTGATGCTTAGTGTATACTTCATATGTGTGCATGTCTACACATTTGGTTTTTATCTTATTTTCACGATTTATTTCAAAGACAGAGATCTGTCCTTGAAAGCTAGAGAGGAAGGAGAGGTTCATGCACCTATTCACACCCTAAATGCCTGCATGTCTGTTCCCATCTGTTCCTGGCCAGACGTGGGTGGCAGGGACCAAGTACCTGGGCATGACCTGCTGCCTTCCCAGTGTGTGTACCAGCAGAAGTGGAGCCAGGACTCTGTTCTAGGTTTGCTAACCCCCATGCCAAATGCTCACCCGAAGAGGAATATTTTTTAATGTGCATGGAAACATTTTCTATAAAATTGTTTTGGCATGTTGACCAAGAGTTGTGTCCTAAGTCAGTTTTTTTTTTTTTTAAGCCCAGGCTTTCTTTTTTTCATTAAATATAAAGTATAACCTAGTTAGTCTGAAGACGTTAGTTAATCCCAATCCACTTTTCAATTCACCTTACTGTTCTCTTTATGCAGTAGGTTGCAAGAAAGATTGCTTAAGCAAAGGAGTGGTGATCCCCAAGAGTGAGGTGTTGGCCTTTCTGTGCAGGTGGCCTGGGAAAGAACCAAGGGGACAGGGGACCAACCAGAGCAGGAGAGCCGGTCTCCAGGTGCCACCACCTGACTAACTGCTTTATTTCATCTTTCAGATCTTCTTGGAGAAAATGCCTACCTGGTCTTGTTTACCACTGTGCTACGTATTTTTAACTGCTTCCTGGTTCAAACCAGCTTTGTTCCGGATGAATACTGGCAGTCTCTTGAAGTTGCGCATCATATGGTCTTCAAATATCCTTTGTAGATTCTGTGGCAGACTGCGCGGGTAGATTTACCTCAGCAACTGTATTCAGTTTCTGTTACACCTTTCTCATCCATTTTCTCCAGCTAATTTAAATTCTTCAAAGGACATGATTTTATACTGTTTCTTCTTTTTGAAGTTAATATGCTTGACATAGTCCTTAGCATATATTCCCACAGCATTCAGTACTTGATACAAATAGAAATACATTCCTGTCTTGGAGTTAATTCAATTTTTAAATAGCCAATATGAAATTTCTCAGAGCTTAAGTAACAAAAAGGAAAAATTTTTATAAAGAGAACTGAAAATAAGTTTTGTTTCGATACCATGCGATTCATAGTCCTTAATTTTGCTAATTATGGCTATTTGACTTGGGAATGGACAGAAAGACTGAGGGGTTATACTTACCCCTTGCTCTTTGCCAGCATTTACAAGATTCTGCACCTTTTGGGGGAAGATAAGGTTCAGTTGTTGGTAAGTTTAAAAAACTTAGTTGTTAAAAATAGATTTCTTCTTCTTAAAAGGTTGATGGATGTTAACTCAGTCCCTGAGTTGGTACCTTTGTTTCTTAAGAAGCTACTGTTGCTAAAGACCAGTCTAATCTAGGCATCCCATGACCCGAAGTCACTGTAAGGGATGGTTCTTCCATGTGTGCTGAAACAGAGCGTGAACCAGACTGTCGTGTTGTGAGGAATGCTGGCAAGAAATGCAGACTTCCCTTCCATACAGCAGGGGAATGTAGTACCTGCCTCAGAAAATAGTTTGCACTTAATGAGCTGATTTGTCTACAGACCCTACAATAAACCATAGACATTTGATTTTAGAATACCCCATTATGTACTAAAGAACATTTAAATATTTCCAGACTAGCATCTTAGTACAAGGAAATGGTTTGTTGATCAGTTAAAATGAAACTATTAGTTTTGAAATTACATGTGTGTGGGGTGGGGGTGTAATAAGAATGGTAAAGTTCCTTTTGATATTTCCACGAGAAATTAATAATTTTTGTAGAAAAACATGCTTACTGAAGATTACAGTAAAACATTGTCTAATTTTGTGCTAAGAATGGCTTCCATTCATCAATGAATCAGCTTGTTGATTTTGTGATAATTCGGGGTGAACCAGCAGATGTTTTTAACATCTTCTCCTCCTCCTCTTTCACTAATGAAGATTTGGATTCCCAGACTTGCCCAGGCACTTCTGTCTGCCATAGCAGATGTGAGGCTTTACTCATTAATGAAGCAGATAGAAAATCACCAAGTGGCAACATGGGTGGTAAGTGTGAAACCCTTGAGAAATCCAGCGCCAATTCAAATCTATGGACATAATGCTTGTGCATAAATGTTGAATCCCTCAAATAGTTTTAGAAGACAGTTCACACAACATCCTAGTTGAGAACAGTACAACACAAATGGCATGTAGCATACTACCTGTCCTCGCCGTGCCCAGGGAGACAGCGTTTAGAAGATCCTTCACTGTAGAAAGCTGTCAAAATCTCTGCCTTCCACGAGGTCAGAGGATAGCTTCCAATCATCACTAACTATCACCAACTCACCACTGCCTGCCTCCCTGTGAGCCTCGGTCCAGTGCTTGTTCTGGGACGCAGCCAAAGAAATTCCTTTACACTTGTCACCACCTGCTGGGAAGCTGGAAGGAACTGGAATCATTGAAGGAGAGAACATGAGATAGAGAATACTGTCTTTTGTCATAGATTGTAAGTGGAGAGGTGGATTCTTGACACAGATTTCAGATCCTGAATGGGTTTTTCCCACTTAAATCATATCTGGGTATGTTGTAGTAGGTACTATTGTTACTTCACTTGGCTCTCCAAATTCAGAGAAGCTTATTTGAGCAAGCTTATAAATCATCTTATTACTTTTTAGAAAATGTTTCTTTTGAAAAATATGGTACAGGTAAGGAAGCTACCCTGTCCCCACAGTCTGTTGAAAAATACATTCCAAACTCCAAGTAACCCATTTTTGGAGTACAATTTATTTATAAATTGGAAAAGGAACAGACTTCTGCAAGCAGTGCATTCTGCATTAAAAGAAAAGATTAGTTTAGCAGCTAAGTCCTTGCTAATTATTCAGAATTTTAAAAATTACCTTTATTCTGTGCTTATATGAAGCACAGAATATATATTCTGAAGGCTCAGCATAAAATGGAAGGCAAAGGCCATAATGGCTCTGAAATCCTTTCCCCCCCAAAAAACGAGTATTAGGTTTTTCTAGGAAACTTCATGAAAAAAATAAAAACATTTTTTTAATTCTACACTTGAAAAGACAGAAACCTAATACTTCGTGTTTAGCAAGCTTGCCTCAACTAAGAAGTTACTTTTAAGACATCTGTCTTCTGCATTAATGATGCACTTTTTTAATATTCTTCCCAAGGCTGGTTTCATTCGTTTGCAATTTAAAATTTAATAATGCCACCTGACATGTTTCTGGTTTGTCTTAATTTTTCATCAAGAAATAAGACAACATTCCAAACTAAAGACATTTTAAAAAGCAGTCAAAAGTACTGGGTGGGAGAATCTACTTATGAGTTTCAGTCCTCTACAAAATCTGCCATGAAAAAAGTGTTTTATACCTTTAATGGGAAGTGGAAATTTATTCATGCCACAAAAATACACCTGAAAGTATTCATTGTTATTTCTATAATCATTGATCTGATATTACCTATATGTCATAGATCTGAGTTAGACATAACTTCATAAAAACTAGGGGCATGCCTATGTTAACATTACTTACCTTGCGTGGTGGGTTTCACAATATTGAGACTTATTATTCCCCATAGAAGATACTACTGAGTTCCCGTTTCCTGCTTCATACATGTTTGTTCATTACTGCTCTTAGTTTTTTTGCCAGTTGTGCTCCTGGTTCACGTGGTATTGCTGCACCAGAACCCTTACAAACACCATGGAAACTGTCCTGACTGGAATTGCTCTTTTCTACTATCCTTTGGAAGGTTCCAAGTCTGTGAACAGGTGAGATACAGTGTTGCTAATTACCATAAGGCATGCTTTTGAAAAGTCTTAAATATCCACATGTTGTAATGTTTAGTAGACCACTGAATGTGAGAATTATGAGAACTGTATGTTTTTAGTTGGTATGTTACATCAGGAAACACCTAACCTTCTCAAGCTGGAATAATGAAGGAAAATCTAATAAAATGACTATCCGAGTGAAGACAATACTTAGGAAAGCCACTCAGCTGAGTATTCTGGTACCACAGCTTTGCACTCGTCCCTGGTGAGAGCAGGAAGTCTGTCGTCTCTAGTCTCCAAGGAGCAAGGAACGGAAACGGATACTGGAAACCATAGTGAGTTCCA